GGTAATTCGGTGAAGTTAACTTAGTCAATAATAAAAATCTGCAATAAAAGTTTATTTATTAACTATAATAAAATAATAAATAGTTATTTCAATTTACTTTAAATTAATTAAAAAAAAAAGAGTTTATTTATAAAACTTTTTTATACTTTTATTATATACTCATAAAATTGTCCAAAAAATTACAATTTGCAACTAAAACGGGTAAATCGGCGGAATCGTGCACGTTACATTGAGGTGATTATAAAATAGTATAAATCGCTCTATTACATTAAAGTATACAATTTACACTATCTTTTAAAAAAATTAGACCATTAATTATTTACTAGTTCGAGAGAAAAGCGAACTGAAAGTTGATATTATCCGCAGTAAATTCAGATTTTCATAAAAAAATATTTATCATCTGCGGAATGCTTGATTTTACTAGTTTGATAATCACCCCAACATTAGTGTTAGTATGACGATACTAAGCCAAAAACAAAAAGGTAGGCGGCTGTTAATCACTTTCTTTTCTTTTTTTTTGCATTCTTTCCTCTTTTTTACGTGCACTAACTGCTTGCTTCTGTGCTTTTGCCAACTCACGATCGGCTCGCTTTTGAGCGGCCTCTTCTTTTTTCTGCCTTGTAGTTTCTACTTTTTTTTTCGCCATCTCGTCTATCTTTTTTATTTCTTGCCAAGATTCGTCGTTAGTAAGAAGCCATGCAAACGGCAAAGTTTTTCTTTTTTTCGTTGATTCGCTAACCTCCCGTTCCTTAGTTTTGGAAACTGGATACTTGAGTGCTAGTTTTAAAGGAGAAGTGCCGGGATTTTTAAAGGTTTCTAGCTCCTCTTGTACTAATGAAAAGTTTTCTTTAATTGAGGCATTCTGTTTTTTTAGTTGTGCGTTTTCTCTTCTAAGGGTCTCGTTTTCAACCTTCAGCAGTTTCAACTCTTCAATAACATTGGATCGGGTAGGGTAGTTGGAGGTTGGTTGAAGTTCTACCGAAGCTGAAATTTTATTTGGCAAAGGAGGAAACACTTGTTCGTAAGGCTGATCAAGTTGCTGACATAGGGGTGGGGAAGGAGGTAAGTCAAATCGTTCAGTAACAAGTGAAGGATCGAGACAGTCATTACTGATAGCATTAGGATTGAAAGGCCAAATTCCTGTAGCTTTAAAGGCATTAATTATTGCCGTGGGAGTGTAGGTCATGATAAAAGCTGGTCCAAAAATTTTAGCAAAAGAACGCTTGGTCACCAGCTTGTTGTTACTGCTGTAAAGCATATCACAACCTTTACTATACTCCTTCTTAAGTTTGGCGAAAGGGATTTCGGACGGTTGAAGGATATGCGTAGTATGAGGTGGAAGTGCATATAGTAAGATCCCATTTTCGCGACAAAAACTAACACTCATGTAATTTATATGGCTTTTGTGACC